TCCAGTCTTCCAGTCAGACTCTTTACACATTTGCTTGTGCATGTCTTCCTGTCTATAACTGTATGTATCTGTATGATCACTGCTGTGGCCAGTGTTGAAGAGGTGGTATTATGGTTTTTAGATTTTTTTCCCTTTCCTTTATTGAGTTACATATCTTTTTTGTGCATGTAACAGGTTTGCAAAGTGAAAAAGCCCAAAGTCCAGCCCAAAGGGAGTTCCCATCTCCCACAGAAAACTCTGCTCTGAACTGCCTGAAAACAGCTTGTTTTTTAGTCCAGCCTTTACTTCCCTTTCTTGTGACGTCACAATGAAAATACGTGTCAAAATGCTCGCTGAGCGACTAGTCCGACACGCCCTCAAAAACACCGGTGGAAAAACACTGCGCTGCAGCACACAAGCCTTTAACACACACGATGAAAAGAGGAGCTGCAGCAATGTGCAGTATGACAAAAAATATGGTGTTTTTTGAAAATTAAACCATGTAAACCTGTTCTGGTACAACCCCTAAATAGGATTTTGAACCTGAAAACGAGCATAATACCACCTCTTTAAGGGTTAGCAGGGGTGAAGATACTTAGTTAGCTTGTAAGCTGCTCTTATAAGAGAGTCCCTTTTTATAATATCTAATGCTTGCACACTTTTAATAACTTCCACCCAGACTGGAGGGACTGTGTCACTCATCACTCTTTCTCTCTCTCTCTTTCTTGCCTACATAGCCAAACCTTTCACTTGCTATACTTTTCAGTTTCTCCCCCTTTAAGCTTTCTCTCTCCTTTTCTTTTGCTCTCCAAATGGTTCTCACCTCAGTAACTCCACTTCATTCACATCTGTTTCGCCTTTTGCTCTTTTCAATTACTGAACAGTGTTGGAACACTTTTATTTTTTTTATTCTGCCCTTCACCCACCTGTTCCTCAAAATACCATCCTCTAGAGTCACTTGATAGAAACTGTTGCCAAATAAAAAAAGCTTTAACACACCACTTTTTTAGTATGAAGCTATTCTGCCTCTCTCTCTCTGGATAAAGAGAAAGTTACCTTGTTGGTGTCAAATCAAAAAGAAATACAGCATGCTGAGCTGAGTACTCTGACTGATCTTCACAACCATCAAGTATTGAAGCGACATTATCCATTCTGTCTGAACCCACTGTCTTCGCCATCAGTTCTAATGCCTACATATTCACTCAAATCAAACTTCAAATCCACACCAGTCCAGACAAAGAGTTGCAAGAAGTCTTTCATCCCTGCAGCCTTCAACTTAGTTACTGCAGTGGTGTTGTGGTATATGATGATTTTGGCAATCATAAAGAAGATGGTGATAATTTGGTGACATATAAGGAATCTTGGTGCTTTGACAACAATACTTGTGCTGCTGCAGCTCATAACAATATACTGTTCATATGGTTGTAATTCTCTGGATGGTTTGAAAGGGTTACACAATAATTCTTTTGCCCTTTCAGCATTACTGATGCTGATTCAGTTTACCAGTTTATGCAATGTTCTACACCAACTTGAACCATCACTCACAGCTCCGATCTTAACACAGGATGCAAAGTGAGAGATGTGATTAAGTAACTCTGGATTCACTTGCGTACACTGAAATTGATCGTTAGTCGGTGTATGAACCTCTGACGCCTGCAGGAGAGCAGATCAGCGGCCGCTCTCAGTTGGGACTGCTGGAAATGCACTGTGACCTTTTAACATATGTGAAGGTTTTCCCTTGGTTGTGAACACTTTCTACAAAGTTTTCATTTTCCTGCAGGTGTTTACGGTGAGCGTTAACTGTTCATTATTGCCTAAAGTATACTGTTACATCTACAGTATTGCTCTATATACTGCTCCACAGCCTTTGTACACGTTTGTGTCTAATGTGCGTGCCTGTGACAGCTAAATAAAATTGTTTTGTTTTTGCAGTAGGAGAGTCTGTCTTACTTATCTGCAAATCTGTGTGTGTGTGTGTGTGTGTGTGCTCCCTCCTGTATGCTGTAACAATAAACAAGAATTTGCATTTTGTCAGCTTGCCTGGGTATTTGTGCATTAAGTGGTTTAAAATGTATTTTCTATAGTTTTCATCTCGTTTTCCATCTTCCTCTTCACTGCCTATCCTTTAGTCCTCATATTGGCATTACGTCCTGTGCTCTGTCTCTTCATGTTTCCATCACTTCCTCATTATGCTGCTTCTCTCTCCTGCTCTGTCTTTCAGTTTAACAAAATAAAACTCTTGCTCTTCTTTTGTTCATTCAGATCCAGAGCAGTGTCCTGCAGCCGCCGCCCACAGAGGAGCACAAGCAGAGGGTGAGGAGCATGACGGAGTCCCTCGGCCCACAGAGCCCAGCCGAGAGCTGCAGCCCCAGCCTGCCAAGCAACGTCTTGTATCCGTCACCTGAAGTGAAACACACTCAAACGCCTCACATCTGTACAAAACACACACAGGCCAACACACCGTATACATCATGCAGGCACATTTATACCTGCAAAACCTTAGACACCGTGGCGATCTGACAAGTGTTGTAAAAACTCATACAAATGCACATACTTTCTCAGCACACCAAGAAAAATACCCATAATGTCAGCAGAGCACCTTCATCGACTTTCTCTGGCTATTTATTGAATGTCTTTGTTATGCTTTTCACTTAATCTCTTTGAAAGTGTGTTTTACAACACAGGGCTGTTACTGTATTTCAGTCAGTCAGTACTTTAAGGCTCAGTACAGTACATTCATTCTCTCTCTCTCTCACTCACACACACACACACACACACATGTGTACACATTGATTCTTTCTTTTACCCACCCACACACACTCATGAACTCACTCTGTCTGTTCAGTTTGATATTAGCTTTATTGGTTACTGTTATATAAAAACAATGCTGTGCTATCACACAGACAGAACTCAGTAAACACGTGGAACACCTTCAACTGTGATTGAAAAAGTAATTTGAAACAGACACTCTCATTAAAGATATGAATGCACTTATGTTAAAACTTAATTATAGTGTCTGTTAAGGCTTTCTCTCACACACACACACACACACACACACACACACACACACACCTACTTTCTCACTTTGCTTCATCGCTCCTTAACTGTCCTCCTCAGGCGTGTTGGAGATGTGTCCATCTGTCTGTCTGACTTTACTGTGAAAGCAGGCCGATGTTCTGGCAAACTGATATAATGGTTGACGGTGTTGCACATTTTGCCCATTTGTTTCATCATTCATTTCTTGTTACATTTCTTGAATTGCTGTATAATTAGTGTGTTTTTTGTTCTGATGTTAAAGCAGCAATCAGGGTGTCTCAGTATTTTCTAGACCGCCTGAAGGACACAATCAGACCAGACAACCTCACTTGGAAATTTTTTTTGCGATTAAAAAATATTACTCACTATTTGAATTTTACAACTATGGAGTGAAGTGAAGTGGTCAAGGTGAAACCTTGCGCATTAATGTATTTGTCTTTTCCATGGATTCTGTAACAGGTCACAAGCAAATTAAAACCACTGTTAAATTAAAATATTGTTTGTCTTTCTGGAAACACAGTGGGTTGTGAACAAAGTGACAAAAGGACATGTTTGACTTTATAGAAGCACAAATCACTGTGATTAATGCTACACATGAAAATGAAAGAGGACCCAAAGAAGTAACTGATCTGGCCATAGCAGCGATTATCTTCATCCCACACCTCAAGCATCAGCTCTTTTTTCTTGAGTATGCCCAGGGACAAGGTTTTGTCCCAGTTGTCAATGACTCATAAGCGCCTTCACAAAACTGCGTGGCACCCTACCCTAAGACAATGGTGTGTCGAACAAGGCCTGCTTTGGGCTAAAGAGAGCAGAAAATCTTTATTTGATTAACTTTTTCTGTAGATGATCATTATCTATATCTACTGATTCAAGTATATCCAGAAGGAAAATAAATGTAGATATTTAGTATTAAATTAAAACTCCTATTTATTTCTCAGCAGGTGATTCAAGACAACTCATTTTATGTTCATTTAATTCAAAGACAAAGTAAACTAGAACTGCAAACAGTTATAAGCGGGGTCCAAGCCTACTGGCGCAAGCCGCCCTCCCTGGCCCCGAGTCGGCCCGGGCGCCCGGCCATCGTGCCGCATAGGGTCCCCACGTTTGGTGTTGATGGGCCATTCCAAACAGAGGCCTTTGCCTTTGAAAATGCCATAGGAATGAATGGGATTTAGTGAGAGATTTCAGCTTTGCTTTTAGCGCAACCTCTTGGCCAAATTGCACCAAAATTGTCATGTGTGATCACGGCCCTAGGGGGAACAATTGCCCCAAATTTAGTATCAGTGGGAGTTGTGGTTGTGGAGATCTAAAATGCATGTAAGTCAACTATAGCCCCTAGTTGGCACTATTCAAAAAAATCCCAAAATTTGCACAACCCCTCAGGGGGGCATGCCACATAAGGTCCTCAAGTTTTGTGTTGATCGGCCTTTCCAAGCCTGAGATATGTTAAACTTCCTGTTTTTAGCGTCTTCGCTAATATTTGTTAGCTTGCAATTGGGATATTTTTTTGTCGGATCAAAATTCCCTCTTTTATCGGCTCGGTCCAGAGATTGTCCGTGCCAAGTTTGGTGTCGATCGGACTTGCGGCTTCGGAGGAGTTAATTAAAATAGGTTTTTCAGTTTTCGCAATGTAGCGAAAAAAAAGTTTAGGCGGAAATAGGCGTGGCCTATACCACGATATTCAACTGGATTAATTAGGGTCTCTTATAAATATAATTATAAAATATATCTGAACGTCGCCAAAACAGTAAAAAATTATCATTAAAACCAGCCAGTCCACTTCTGCACATGTTCTTTTTTTAATGTTCCTGTCATTTTACCCCCAAAAAATGTAAATGTGGCTGTCAAAATGTCAGCACTGAAGCGTCATTATCTCAGAAGAGCCACATTAGAGAAACGGAACGCACCCCACGCTCTTGCGGTGTCTCTGTTTAAATCCTCCGTGCGGAAACAAACATCCTCCTCTGTGTTAAGCGCCCGCCGGCTGTCATTCGTCCAAAGCGAGCCAGCCGGTGCGATCGTGGCGCTGACGGAGTGGAGCAGCGAGATCCGCATGTAAATGAACACCTCCACCTCCGTGTTCCTGTCACCTGATGATCTAGCGGGGCAAATTGACTACCCCGACCCCCCTCATCGGCGAGTTGACCTCAAACGTCTTGTGTGGAGATAAAAGAAAAGGTTAAACTGCACTTACTTTGGAGCAAACGCCGTCCGCTAATCGCTGCCGTGTGGCGCCGCCGTTTCTCGCTACAACACGGTGAGTGATCCGAGAGTTTGTGGCTGTAATGTCCATCGCTTTATCGGTTGGATCTCGTGTGCTGGCCGCTGGCTGATGGATCCCGGCAGGGCATACAGCTGCGATGACAGCGGAGTCGATTTGTCGAGTGGCGACTTAAAGTACTTGGTTAAATCCCAAGAGCGCACCGCTTAAGGAAATCTTATATTAAAAATGTTATGCATCAGCTCAACATTAATACATATCAGCCGTAGATGTTGGCTTGTATCACAGCTTAATAATAAAAGCGTAATTATCATGTTCAAATTAAGTAAATTCACTCATTATTGCGCGTGCACAGTCGCACTGCTAGGGGGAACGCGGGTCAGGTAGGGGACATGCAATCAATTAAATAGTCTGTAATTGATGATCCATATGACAGTCTTTATCCAGACTCTGCCATCATCATCACCATTACGCATGTCCATGGCTCTGCCTCTGCATGAATGATAACGGAGAGAGAGAGAGAGAGAGATGATGTGTCCATCCATGAACCTCAAACCTCCCACAGTAGGCTGGCAGCCTGAGGGGACTATGGATCTACTCCTGCTGCACATCCAGCTGTCTGATAGGCATCTGGCTCGCTCCATCCTCTGAAGAGTTGCATTCACCTCAAGAGTCAGTTTTGGCTCTTGAAATTATTGTCACAGAGTTGGTTGGTAAACAGTTCGTACTGATTTTCAAGAAACGCCTTGCTTTTCTTCTTCTCGTCTTTTGGGATTAAAGACATTTCAGATTGGCATTGCATCATAGAATAGCGGATCCATGTTTTCACACAGCAGGGGATACAAGCGCAGAGGAGCTATCTTTGCGGGTCTGTTATGATTAGATATACTGTGCATACTTATCTGACAAAGCTGGAACCTGGATCTCCCACACAGGAAATCAAACTTCAGCCTCTCTGCCACAGGAGATTGTTGTTGGCTGGGAAGAAAATCTCCTCCGGCCAAGAGATTTACGTGGGTTTACACATCTTCTCAAGAAGTACTCTGCCTTCAGACCGCCCTGTGGTGAGATCCCCTCCTCCAAATTTAGTGCCACGGTGACCAACCGAATCTGATCTGAGCCAGGCCCTGCCACCTTGGATACTGAACATGAGTGGGTCGACTGGGGAGAAATCCACCCAGTCCAGGATTCAGTAGGGGAGAATGTGAAAGCACACTTCCTGCAGCTGTGTTGTATTAATGTTCCTACAATATGTGTGCGGGGATGATGTGTGTGCAGTATGTCCTGCTGTACACCTGTAGAAAGAAAGGCATAGGGGACGTGGGGATGATCTCCTTTGCGGCTGGTATGACCACAGGCAGAAATCACCCAGGTGGATGTTATGCTGGTGGTTTATCTGTCAAAGGTCTCATTTCTCCCTAAGCAGCTCAGCATATGCTGCAATAGCCACTTGCAATTAACATTAGGAGTGTGTGACAGTCACTCTCACTTGGTCAGGCTATAGCCAAGTGTAATTTCATCTCAAAACGTGTAGATTTTCCTGTGACTTCGGTTTTCTAAGATGATCGTCCTGTGTTGTTAGGGTTGCCTGCTTACAGTAAATAGATGCATTTAGACTCTCATTTCTGTGCTGCACTTGCCACATTAGAGATGATTGATCCGCTCATAATGTCCTTCTTATGCTACTTAAAGTCTGAGCACATTGCCCCGTTGCACAGAAACGTTAACAGCCGCTGGATGTATGTGTTGACCGCATTAAATTGTGCCAGTGGCGATAACCTTTTTGCTCATAAATCTGTCAGAGCTACATGGCTGACTGCTTGGAAGCACACAGGAGCATCAAGTAACCCCACAAGCTGGTGCCACAGGAGAGACAATGCCCCCTTCCTTTGGCTGTTATCTAGAAATATTGAGGCTTTTGACCAGCACTTAAGGATATTTAGTGCAGCGTTTCTCAGAAAGCCGGGAAGCTATCCAAAAGATGTTCTCAGAAGGCCCAAACTGGCCTTAATCGAACATTGTCTTCACTCAGCTGTCTTCGGGAACACTTGTAGTTTCTGCTGACTCTGTAAGAAAAAAGTTGTTTTATTTTTAAATGAGAGACTTCTGTGGCCACAGAGACCACCACTTAAACCCAAAGTAGCTGCAACAAAAGGGAATTTGTCGGCTTTCATTTTCAGCAAGGTCTTTCCGTGTCAGGAATAATATCTTGAGGTCTGCTTTAAGATTCGTGCATTTGTCTCGCTGTTGTCAGGATGTGCTCTAAGAGAAAAGCTGCTGTAAGACGGGAGGAAGTTTTAGTATGAATTGATCACTGTTGGTCCATGTTATCAGTACTCTGAAGAGGGATAGTGTACACCTAGGAGCATGCTTTTCCTCTCTGATTTGAGTGAGATTCTTAAGGGGGCTCATTCAGTCTAAATTAACATCCACACCCGAGATGTTTGCTCACTTCCTAGTCCTTTCAGATTCAAGAATCGACAGCCAGGCTTGTAAAGATTAATTCTTCAATGCAGAATCAAGTCCCTGCTGCTCATTATCCTCTCGCACATGCATTGTACTCCTCCTTTATCTTCCGCTTGCTCTCCTATCTGTGCTCCGTTTCAGTTTTACTGCTGTCTCTTAGCTGAGGTAGATGAAATATTCACCAGGAACGCTGTTTGTTTCCCGCAGGGTCTCGCCTTCACACTCTTGTTCCTCTGCTACCCTCACCACCCAACCCCCCTGCATAAAAAGCCTGTACGACCCTCCCCACATCTCTTGCCTCCCGTCCTCCTCCAATCTGACTCTCCCTGCATGCCCTGCAACCTCATCCAACCCCTATACATACCCCTCTGCATACCTCTGATAGCATCAGAGCACTTGCTTAATTATGCATGAATTATGTGAATTATGTCTTATAGCTTTTCATCAACATTGTCTTCTCCCTCCAGGTACTTCTGTTTTCTGCTAAAGTTTTCTTAAAAATTTGGCTTTCATCATCATCTTTTCATTTGATGAGGCCCTATTTTTAGCTGTTGTATTTATTTTCTCACTTTCATCCCCCCCCCCCCCCTTTCAAATGTGTAAAAAGCCTCTGGATGAAAACATTGATGAAGACCAATGCTTTAGATAGAGGGGGGTGGGGTGTAGAGGTGAAGCGAGATCAGAGAGGGATTCTGGGAAAGACATTGTAAAAGTTCCTCTGGGGATCATGCAAGTGCCTGACATCAGATGTGTCTTTAAAAAGGAGCATAAGGAGCCCCTCTTCAAATGCCGGCTACCTACTTGTGTCACTGACCACTTATCCCTAGCGTGTCTCTCTGTTTCACATATACCTTCATATCACTGGAGAGAGAGAGCCGTTTGAGCAGCTTCGGAAGAAGGAAAAATAGCTTCATGAACTATTTCAGTAAAAGCTCCCTGTTTTCAGATGAAAGTGAAAACTCTGTATCAAAAGAAATTGTGTTCAGCATGACAGTCATAGTCAGAGAATTCTGTTTTGAGATGTGCGGTCTTCCTCCTGTAGCCTTAAACGAGTTGAAATCACACAGCTCTGCCAATATTTCGATGTTTCAATGTGATGTACTGTGTTCAGAAGAATGCCTCTCTGCCGACCCCTGCTGACCATGCGGAGTGTGTGTGCGGTGGTCCTGGCCCTCGCCGCTGCCGCCCTCAGCTTGGCGGACTCAGACATGCACAGACCGAGACATGACTCCAACTTGGAGATCTGTATCCTTCTGCTGTTGGTGTGTGTGTGTTTGTATATGCGTGTGAACTTGTGCATAGTCATAACTACGTTCCTGTGTCTTTCAAATGTAACAGATGGGTGCATGAGGGAGCATTTATGTGAGCTATGCCCATGTGGAGACTGTGCGTCCTCCTAAACCCTTCTTTTATCAGACAAGCGGCTGTTTGAGACCAAGAGGAAAGATCAGCTGAATGCTCTCAAGAATCTGGTAGAGCTGAACGACATCAATCAGCAGTACAAGATCATAGACATCATGCTCAAAGGACTCTTCAAGGTAGGGTGTGTGTATGTGTGCACTCACATTAAATTCTAACAAAGTCTGTGGGCAGCAGCAAAGTCGAGCACAGACAAGGCCACTAGTATTAAAAAAAAAAAACATAACGGTTATTTCGAAGCGCTGAACCATCGTCTGCTGTGCTCCAAGCAGATTGAAGGATAAGAGGGTTCGCAGCCCAACAGAGAACCATAAGCTTCAAATCCAATGATTACAGTCATCAGCATGTCAGTCTCAGCTACTCTGAGCTTTGCTTTACAGCGTGCATCAGTTTCACAGAGGACAGGTATCTATGCATCTGCATGCCTCCCAAGGACAACTAGCATAGTCAACGTACATTGGCTGAAATACATTGTCAGCATTTCCATACCGCTATATGTGTGAGAGAGAGAGTGCTTAACGGTGTTCCTGCTGTCTCCATGTACAATCCCCATAGACGGTGCACTGACTCAAACCTCAAAAGACGTGTGTGTGTGTGGATACAGTGATTCTTCTTGACACAACTTCCTGTATGTGTATCTAGATATATATATATATATATATATACACACATATGTATGTGTGTGTGTGTGTGTGTGTGTGTGTGTGTGTGTGTGTATAAAAAATGTTTTCCCAATGGAATCCACTATTAAGTTGTATTTAGCAGATTCACTGCAGTGAAAGTGGTCTGTAAAATAAAATGGGAATACATTTCCCTTTTAAAAGCTTAACTGTATTTTCATCTGCATTACAACAGCAGCTGTAATCCACAGCACATAGTGTAAAGTAAATAAAGCTGTCTGTCTCATTCATAAGGTGTTGGAGGACTCGAGACAAATCCTGGTTGCAGCCAACATGCAGCCTGATGACCCTTTCCCAATGGACGATAAGATCAAAGAAGGTCTGATTTACTTTTACACCTCAGCTGTTTCATTTTTACAGTGTCTCTCTGTCTTGCTCTACTTATATAAACCTCTTTATATAGCAGCATTTCTAGCATGTCTTTCACACTCTTTTGTCTCCACCACCTCTAACTGGTTTGTCTTTCGCTCTGTTACCCGTTTCTAAAAGCTCCACATCTGTCAGCCTTTCTTTCTCTCATCCTTATCCTCTAACCTGCCTGTTTCTCTCTTCCCCCCTCTCCATAAATACCTGCAGCTTATTCCCATGTGGTGGAGAATACTGCATTTTTTGGCGACGTGGCGCTGCGTTTCCCCCGTATTGTCCACCACTACTACGATCGGAACCCTGACTGGGGCGGTCTGCTGCGCTGGGGACTGAAATTCTGTAACCAGACAGGGGTTTTCACAGGAGGAGCCCACCAACACGTCCTCACACTCGTAAGACCAGACAACCACCTATCCTGTCCTTATTGCAACTAATGTTACCTGTCGATAACAGTATCGTCACAATCTTCTGATATCCTCTGCAGTATGGCTGTAAAATATGGATTCTAGCTTTGAATGCCACATGTTCAAACCCTAAATTTGATTGCCGCAATTTATAATATATCTGTGAGATCACCTTTCTGCAGAGCTAAATTGAAAGAGAGAGTGTTATCCAACGAAGGTTAAAATCAAGGGCAATCAAGTTGCCCTTGATTGCCCTTGATTTTAACGTTACATTCGTTGGATAACTATTACCTGGATGACTGAGAATCTTCATAGACAAGAGAGAGTGTTGTTGCTTAGATAAAGCTGTAAAATGTGCACTCTGACCACATCCAAGAGGTAATGTGGTTTTAGGCTGAAGGCCTTGAAAATATGAAAATTAGTAATTCTTTCAACTTGTGCCTGCATGTAAGGTTTCCATGGGTTTTAATATTGATGACTGATAAGTGATTAGTGACTCAAGTATTCAGAGCAATTTTAGCAATTTTCTGTTCATTTTGATGCTGAGAAAAGTGAAATGAAAGAAATGAATCTAACCAATTTCTAGATGGATTAAACACTTCTCCACAGCTCTATTGTGACATTTAGAATGTAAGTGCATGATGAACTGAAATCTTTCCTCTGCAGGACATCATAGTGAACAACAACATTGCAACAGTTCAATGCAGGGCAACGCGCAGTGACAGAACCATCATGGCTCAGGTTATACAGTACATATGGAGCTTTTAGTGCAATCTGCTGGCTTACAATACATCCTCAGTACCAGTTTAGTACCTCTCTGTCATCGCTGCTAAATGTGTCATTTGTCATCAGATTTGTCCATGATGTATTGTGGCCTTTCTAACTTAAAAGAGCAAAGCAGATAAAATGGTATTTACTGTTTTAACATGTGGGTTAATGATCTAAACTCTTGCAGGATTAATCTGTGACTTTAGCAATGTGCCAAGAGGATTATATAGTGGATTAATTCTGAGACTGGAAGCAGCAGCAGTTAGCGCCCTCAAAGTGTGCATCCAGCCCTGTCTCAGTGACCCTCTGCTCTCTATTTCATGTAGCTCTTTGTGTCTAAAGCTGAAATGAGAAAATAAGACATAATGCTCAGAAAGAAATGTCGATTTTTGTCTGCAACTGCTTGCCAAATTGCATCATAACGCTCTTTAGCTGTAGAATAAGCGATGTGACAGAGTTTCATTTTCATTCCTTATCTCTTTTGAAGAAGTGATGATGTGTGCCCTCTTCCTCTTTTCCTCTGTCATCCGTCTATTCCGCTCATCTCTCAGATGTCACAGGAGCTGGGGATAACAGAGAAAACCCCAGACTTTACAAACCCGTACCGCACGGAGAGAGATGATGTGAGTAAGATGTATACATGTTGGTTCACAGTTGGCCTCTCCTATTCACTTCACCCTTTAACACCCTAAGGACCCCCTAGTTACACCTCCGCAGTTAACACAGGCAGATTTTCTACTTCATGCTATTTTCAGAAAAGGTCCCTGCAATAACACTGTCTTCCACGTAGTCTTGATAAAAATCTTGCTCTCTCGCCCTTTCTCATCTGCTTCAGGTGCTTCACACTGCAGAGGCTTTCCAGAAGATCCTGAGGGAGGAGGAGAAGAGGAGGAGGAAAGAAGAGAAGAGGAAAGAAATCAGGAAGGGCCCTCGCATCTCCCGCTCCCGTACGGAGCTATAGCGCTGCACCTCCAGCGCTTGTGGAGAGCAGAGAAGAGGGGACGAAGGAGCATACGCACAGTCCACAAGGGGTGGCTTGACTTGTAGACTCCGATGACAGTGAAGGAAATAAAAGCGGTCATCACTTGTGCAAAAGCCAGGTGCTCTATTGAAAATAAGAGAGGAACCTTCAAAGAGGTACAAAAAAGTAAAGTGTAAGTGGAGGTTGGTCAGTTTCTGACAAAGGCCTGAATTGCTATACAACTACGGTGATGTACAATTGAAAAATCTAACGTTGTAGAAGAGGTAAAAGACGTCTCTGGAACAGGAGTTGATAAGGGAAACCCATTTTTGATAACTTGAGGACAACATAACCGTACTTTGGAATATAATTAATTTTAGTATAACAAATTTGCTTCAAACTTTGCAAAACCCCAATGTGTTGTGTCTCATCTAGATTTAATGTGTCATATGCGACGTGTGGTTACCAAATATAAATTTGAATTTCTCACCTCATTAAATTCGGCTTCTCTGTTTCTTTTCCTTGAACTAAGATTTGTATGCAAGATTGGTAGAGGGATGTTTATGAATAAGCAGATTTGTGTTCTCATTGCTGCTCAATGTTTTAAGGACGCATTTTATGTTTTGTTTGCCTCAACAACAGTATAATGGTATATATTCTTTTTTCACCACGAGAGGTGATCATCAGTGTATTTTCCTTTTAGATGTTTTGCAATCTCTTTGAAACCCTTTAGTCATTCTTGTTACATCAATCTCTGTAGTTGTTTCACTTTAATTGACCCTTGATTAAAAATAATTATTTTATTCTGTTGGAAAAATCCATCAATCAGAACTCTTCATGTTGTAGCCCTGCACCTGTTTCTGTCTTTTTCTCTTTATATTTGCTGGAAATTGACATATTTTAATGGTTTAGATCTAAGGAATTGAGATTGATGTAATTTTGAAATAGTATTAAGACTGTTATAATACTGTATGTATATTCAGAGGAAGAATACCATTGCTGCAGAATGAACAAGCCATTTTGTTGAAATAATAAATTTAATGAAATAAAGTGACTCTGATATGTACAAAAACGGTCCCAGTGTGTTTGTGTGCCACAGCTGTAGTGTATGAGATCTGCCAACAGAGGGCTAGCATCCACCAGACTTCCTGCAACTAAATGTTTCAGTTTAGTCTCAACAGAGTTTGAGTTGAACCCATAACATGGAGCTTTAGCTGCATTCAGACGAAACCTTGAATGCAGAGAATAAACGACCTTTTAGTAAAACTGGGCGATGTCGTATAACATGGAGTCGGGTAAAACAATCTCTACATGTTGTGACTTTTGCTGTTTTCGTCATAAATTAGCAACTTGCTAAGGCTAGCTTACAAATGCCGAATTAACGTTAGCCATGAACAGTCAGTATTTGTCAAAATTAGCTAGCGTCAGGTATTTACGTTAAAACATGGCATTTGGGATGACAATCCCCATATCTGCATTGTGTCTGGTGTTTAATTTGAGAGGCGGTATTAGTGTGTAGTATTTGAGTTATAAACATCAAGCCTAACCATCTAGCTAACAGTTACTGCTTTACGCTAGCTATAACGTTATCCTCAGCTCACTTGTATGTAATGTTAGCTAAACTATTCTGTTGTGATGTGTCTCCGTCCAGAACCTTCCTGATAAACACTGACTTTTCTAGGCTTGTTTCATGGCACTTAAAACAAGCAACATCATTCGCAACACCCAGTGACCGCAGCATTGATCGCTGTCTTTAAGTAAATGAGGGTTTCCATAGTTTATATTAACCTGTGTAATTGCAGTGAACCTATAAAAATGAAATATCAATTGTCTCAGACCATTTCTGTTGTGCAGTTTTCCCGCCAGGTGATGAGGAACAGAAAGGGGAGCCAGTTAACATGGATTGTGAGGAGGAAGGAGACGACGCTGATACCAGATGGAGTGAAGAACTCAGGCTTGTCCTCATCGGAAAGACCGGATCTGGCAAGAGTGCGTCTGGAAACACCATCTTGGGCCGAAGGCAGTTCCTTTCACAGATCAGTGCCAGCTCTGTCACCCAGATTTGCCAGCTTGGGAGCACTGAGCTCGCTGAGGAAGAGGAGGATGGCAAAACTGAAGCACAGAGGAGGATAAGGAGGGTGGCGGTGGTTGACATGCCAGGTTTTGGGGACACTCATCTCAGCGTGGAGCAGATTCATGCAGAGATAGCTAAATGTGTGTCTCTCTCTGCCCCTGGTCCTCATGCTTTCCTCCTGGTGGTGCCAATAGGTCGATATACGGACAATGAAAACCAGGCAGCCTGCGAGTTGACCAAGATATTTGGGGAGGATGCACTCCGTCACCACACAGTGGTTCTTTTTACCAGGGGTGATGACCTGGAGGGCTTAGCTATTGAAGAGTACCTGAGGGACACTGCGCCTGCTGGGCTTAAGGCTCTGATTGACAGGTGTGGGGACAGGTATCATGTACTCAACAACAAAGACCCCAGAAACTTGGCACAGGTTAAAGAACTCTTAATGAAGGTGGACAAGATGGTGAAGCAAACTAACGGAGGGTTTTATACCAATACCATGTTTGTCGAAGCAGAGGCTGCCATCAGGGAGGAGCAGAAAAGGATGTTGAGGGAACGAGGGCAAGCAGAGGGGGAAGAACAAGGGGGAAACAATAGTAGCATGGAAGAACAGGCTAAGGTTGCAAAACTAAGGAAGTGTGACTTGGAGTCTAACGGAACAGAGAGCACCGATAGAGAAATACAAGGGGTCAGGAGGATGGAGTTAGAGAGAGGAAATGAAGAGGATTTTAGGGTGGAGAGATGGACCGAGGAGAGCAGAGGCAGCCCCTTCAGCCTCCTGAGGGACAGAGTTGAAAGATGTAGGGACCGGTTCAGAGGCAGGCGCAGAGACTGCAGCGGGGCCTTGAACAGGCGACAGTCTCTCCGTTCGTCTTTGATTCACATGAGGAGGGAGGCTGCGCTCTCTGCTAAGGTGCTGGAGAGAATTAAAATCCTGGTGGCTGCTGGAGCCACAGGCATGGCCATGGGGGCAGTGTTTGGGGCTGCTGCCCCTTTAGCAGCTGCAGCCGGGGCATCTCTTATGGGGAACTCAGTTGGTTTTGCTGCAGGTCAGTTAGCTGGGATGTCTGTAGCGGGAGGCACTGGTGTTGGGAAAGCTGTGGGGGCCATAGTGGCAGCAGCCTCAGGGAAAACTGCAGTGGCCCTGGGGGCAGCAACAGGTGGAGTTTTGGGTGGTTCTGTTGGAGCCATTGCTGGTGCTGAGGCTGCCAGTCCTGGGGAGGGTGCTCTGGATGCCCTGGGGCAGGTTAGCATTATAGGGGCCTCCATTGTCGGGGTGGCAGCAGGTGTGGGAGGCACCATGGGAGCTGGAGCTGCTGTCAGCGCAGCTCTGGAGGGAGCAGCTTTCAGCACAGCAGCCCTCAGCGGAGCTGAAACTGCATCAGTAGGGGCAGCAGGTGTAGCTTCTGTGGCTCAGAGTAGTTTAGTTTCAACAGCAGGACAGCAAGCTCTGGCCACTGTAGGAAGTGTAACTGCAGGTACTGGGATTCCTCAGTGTGCTGCAGTGGCTGCTGGTTCTCCCAGTGTTGTGTGTGGGTTAACAGGGCCCAGTGTGTCGTCAGACCCCTGGGGAACTGCGGCGGCAACTACACGCATCCTGAGTGCGGTGGCTGAGATAGGCAAGGCTGCAGCAGGCATTGTCCTGGCTGGTGGTCTCGTAGTGAAGGTGGTAAAGGAAAAAGCCAGATGTGGTACAGCAACAACAGAAACCAATTACTCAGAAAAGAAGTCTTATGAGATCTATTGGAATAAATAAATACAGATCATAATCTTATTTTTCTAGCCTTGTGATGAAGTACTAGACTCCACAGTAGCTTCCCTCAGTGAGACATATTGCTATTACCATAGAAATGCAAACCACTTCAAAGATGCACAGCTACCAGCCAGAGTAATGTCACATAAAACAATATCGGATGAACAATTATTATAGAAAGCCAATGTTGGTTGGAACTGTTTGAGGTGCGCGAAAGAGTTGTGGCATTTGTATTGCTGTGTGGGATGATTAATAAAGGAAGAACAAGGTCTTGTAATACCTTTTGTTAAAGACAGATTTTTATGTTAAGTAATTTATTTTTATAAAATAAACAAAAAGTAATTTAATTCTGGAAACTGGGCTGCTGAAATTTTGGGTGTCACAGTTGAGCCGTGTATGCTCAGTTGAATGAAAGCCATGAATTTCATCAGGGTTTACAATATGACTTCTTTTTCTTTTGCCCTTTCTAAAGAAGAATCAAAGAAATTCTCTTAATGCTGTGTTTGCAGGGGGAGATTAATGTGTTAATGTAATAAATCCTACTTAAAACATGGTCGAATGAACAAAATGACTGAAGCATTGAAAAGCATTTCAAATCTAAAGTGTGTGTACTTAAAGATGACAGTGTGTGGTTGTACTGCAATGTTTCACATCCTGTCTCATTTTGTGTTTAACATCCTGTAATCCTGTAAACATAAGACATGTTTTGCAGTGCTGTAGCTATTAACACAGGTTTTGACCAACCAGTACCACCTGTTTTCAACTGCTGTAGGTGCTGTGTGTTCACTTTGTTGCAGTGAAATAAACAAATACAGTATTCTTAAATTATTTAATATTTTGGCTTCATTTCTTTTGTTGAGTTGTTAATTGACTTTTCTACCAGTACCTCAACTGTGGAACATTTTATTAGATATTGAACACAAAACATTTAATCTGCAAGTAGGGAAACATACTTATCACAATGTCAAGGGTATTGCATAATAAGAGGAACATGCATACCATTTATTTTTATCTATTCTCATAATTTGCCCAATGAGTTTCACTTCTATTCATGAAGGTAGGGGGCGCGGTTTATTCAAATAATACAGAAGCTTCTGATGGTTGACGTACTATCAGACCACGGCAAATACGACCGTGTCATTGGACGATGATGACTGGTCTCATGACAACAACAGATACGTGCGGGCCAATCACAATCCGCATTGAGTCACAGAGTCTGTTTGTGAATGACGTAATGAGCGTAAAACAAGATGGCGTCGTCTTAAACAAAAATTGGTGTGAATTAATTTATCGACGTAGACAACTGCCTCTCTTGAGGCTCCAGGGTTGTTTTACGGTTGTTCCGTTAAATAATAACCTTCACGAGCAAAACAGCGTGCTGTGGGCGTTTCTGAACGCCACAAAATAGCCTTCGGAACTTGTGTCTTTTCTCCTGCGACCCTCCGGTGACAGCCGGGGAGGCGAGCTGCTGACAGACAGGATGGACAGCGGAGAGTACATCCCCACCATGGAGAACATGGACACGACTTTAGCGGAATTAGGGGACGAATTCACCCTGGGAGACATCGACGGTGAGTAGTTGTGTTAGCGCCAAAGGTGCTCGGTGTTGTTGTTTCTTCAGCTAGATTTGGCCTGTTTCCTGCTCAGTCTGGCATTTCTATGAGATGCTCATCCTGCTGAGCGGAAGGAGCTCGGGAGGTCTGGCTATGACAAGTTTAGGATTCAGTGTATTCACGATACAGCTGGTGTGAAAAGTATTTCTCAGCCCTACAGTTTCTAATATTTTAGCAAAAGTTCACTAATGTCTGTTATTTAGTTAATTTACATCACTTTTGGAAGCTGTCACCTCGCATAGGCCTTTCAACCCATAATGTGTACTTTGGGATAACATTTCAGGCTTTAAGTTTTGTTATGCTCTCTGTAGTTATTTCAGTGCTGCGTGTCTCAATCAAGAGCCAGGCTTCAATGGAAAAGTCGCTCAGTGAAGTGTTATTTTTGCACGAAGCAGATTTGGGTGTCATTTGGCAGGAAGCTGTGGATGTGGGCAGTGAAGGGAGACCCACGGGTGTAACGTTACTTACTCATCAAGCTTGACTGTGTTATTACTGTAAGCCGAGGGCCACAACATGAACCATTTTTATTAATATCTTAGGATGCCTAACAACATCAAGCAAAGGAACTGCCCTAACTTTGGTACATTTACGTATGTTTGAATGTTGATTAATGTACATCGCCCCCTCTCAAATAA